GCCTAAGGCATTTGACTGCTAACCAGAAGGCTGGCAGTTCAAACCCACCAGCCACTCCTTGGAAGGAAGGTTGGGCAATCTACTTCCATAATGATATCACCTTGGAAAACCAAGGAAGGGTCACTATGAGTCGGATCTGACTTGACAGCAGTGCGTTTTCGTATTGCTATTATATTAAAGAACTTTCAAATACTTTTTAGCTTTTTCATTATGAACAATGTCAGCATACTTAATATGTACCTCTGTCCACATGTACAATTATTTCTTTAATTCCCAAAGTAGAATTTCTGTGTCAGATGGTTGCATTGTTTAAATGCTGCTTGTACATACATTTAATTTACACAATGTGCAGTATAGTGGTAATGTGCTCATTTCTTCACAAAATTGTTGTTATGGAGCATTAATGCTTTTTAAGTGTGATTTAATGTCTTTTATTGAGTGATGTGTTATATCTATTGTTTAGTGAATCATGCATGTTCAGGTTTCTTTAACTGGAACAAGAAATTCTGGGTTTCAGAGGCAAGAGCCAGAATTGAAAGAGAGCTGGCTTTGTGGTTAGAAAAATATGTGGCACTTATAAACTGAATTTCTGCAAGTCATTTTACTTCTTTTAGAGTGAGTTTTCTGATCCATTACATGGATGGAATAATTTTGCTACATAGCAATCCTGAGAATATAGTTAATGTGTATAAAATTCATACTTAATCATATTTATCTCAATAAATAGAAGCATGTTATTGTCTAGCTATATAGGGCATGAATCCACTCCTCTTCAGCCTAGGTTGTAAGAAACAGAAAAGAATGACAAATGAAGTCATGCAGGAAAGCAATATGGATAATTCTGAACTGAAGTAGAAAGTAATAAGCCCAAAGCATTCTGTAAATTTTCCTGGCTGGGGCTCAGCAGGGCTACCAGTGCAGCAGTTTTGCAGTGGTAAATCTGCCAGGCTTGTCCTTGTGTTTTTTTCTCTATGTCTGATGTGTCCAAGTAGGCCTGTGAGGCTTAGAAAGAGGTTCTGGTTTGGAAGATGTGGTCCCATATTAGCTCTGAAAGGTAGATACTAGTAGTGATTAGGTTTGCCAAAACTCCCTTAAATCTGTGTGTGTGTGTGTGTGTCTGGTGGGGTGGTCAAGAGAGGGAAGAGGTCTTATTAACTCAAATCATTTTGGGAGTTCTGAGGCCTATCTAGGAGCCCTGGTGGCACAGTGGTTGAAGAACTAGGCTGCTAACTGAAAGGTTGTCAGTTCCAACTCACCAGCCACTTAGCGGGAGACAGCTATGGCAGTCTGTTTCAGTAAATATTTGTAGCCTTGGAAGTTCTGTGGGACAGTTTTACTCTGTCCTGTAGGGGTGCCATGAGTCATAATTGATTTGACAGCAGTGGGTTTCATTTGGGGTTTTTTTGGTTTTGAGGCCTATCAGATTTCATGGCTTTCTTTTCCTCTCCCCAGTGCTGGCTTCTGTGGACTCTGTGCTTCTCCAGGCAAATTAACCTCCAGGAGGATTGACCAGTTGTTGAATTTCTAAACCATGACCTGTGTAAGTTATTATTTTTTTCTCCTTCTGGAATTGTTATCATATATAGGTTCTATGAAAAATCCTTTCTCCCAAAAGTTACTACCTATCAGAGCCCTGTCAAATCCAGTGGAGATGAAGCTAAACATTCCAGTGTCTATCTTATGTGTCCTCTTTTTCCAGTCATTGTTCATATACTCATTGAACAAACCATTCAGCATCTCTTGTGTGCTCAGTCCACTGCCAAGAAAAGCAATGGAACAAAAATGAAATCCCTTGAAGGGGATGACCAGCCCTTGTGAGCTGGTAAGAGAGAATAGACTCATTTGACCATTTATAAGAAAACTCTAAACTTTTAAGATAAGATAAAACAGATAAGCTAGAATTTGCTGTTGGTTGGCTTCAGCCTCAGTGTATGGTAAGATCACAAGCTTTGCTTGCTTTGTGAGGTTTTTGGACTGGGTAGGGATATGGTTAAGCCTTGCATTCAAAGAGATCAAAGATCTTCTCTGGGGATACCCAAAGGTGTATACCAGGAACAAAATTTCATTTGTAGTTGAGCAGTATGTGCTTAGCAATTGTGGTTTCTGCTATGTCAGTGTCAGGAATAAGTGAGGGAGGGAAAATGGTAGCAGGTAAGATTATCCAGATACCTAAGTGTAGATGATTTTACTCATTCTCACTGCTGTCAAGTCAGATCAGACTCATAGCGACCACTCCTTGGGTTTCCGAGGTAGTGTCACTACGGAAGTAGATTGTCCAACCTTCCTTCCAAGGAGTGGCTGGTGGGTTTGAACCGCCAGCCTTCTGGTTAGCAGTCAAATGGCTTAGGCACTATTCCACCAGAGCTCATGTAGATGATTTTAGACTCTCAGAATTGAAGAGGACCTTAGATATTTTGTCCCACCAAAATATCTTAACTATTGTTGTTTGTTGTTGTTATAGATTTTTTAAATGTTATTAATTAATTTATCATGACAAGGGAAAATGCCTCTGATAAAATCTTACTCAGTGATGAACTTGGAAGAAATTCTTTGATTGTATTTAGATCCTTTTCCAATATAGAAATTTTATAGGGAAACTTATTTTTAAAATCTGTTCCTTAAGGGAAAAGGGTAGAAGAACTCACTTTTTGAGAATTTATGAGGGAAACATACAGCATGTTGAATATACAGTATTTTATCTAATTGGAAATCTGATTTTTTTCTTTCTCAGACATGTTTGGATAATTAAGGTATGTGTCACAGTGTTCAAGAGGATCACATAGGAATTCTGCTTCAGCCACACAGATTTCCTAACTTACTATGTTACAGTCTTCTGTTGTTGTTGTTGTTATGTGCTGCCGAGTCAGATGCAACTCATAGTGATGACTCCTTGGGTTTCTGAGGCGGTATCACTATGGAAGTAGATTGCCCAACCTTCCTTCTGAGGAGTGGTCAAGCCTTTTTTCTTGCCATATAGTCCCTTCCATCTTTTCCATGCACTGTCTCTTCCATCTTTTCTCCTCCCATTTTAGAACAGATTTCCTTTAATTTCAATTTCAGGACATGGATTTGTCATTTCAGGAGTCAGTGATGTTCAGTGATGTTTCCATAGTCTTCTCTCAGGAGGAGTGGGACTACCTGGACTTGGAACAGAAGGACTTGTACAGAGATGTGATGTTGGAGAACTATAGCAACTTGGTCTCACTGGGTAAGATTAATCTGTCCTGTGGAATTTCAGCTTTTTCCTCTGGAAAACTTAGGACTATCTTTCAAGAAACTAGTTATATTTCTCCTTCCCCTTCTTAAACAAATAGTTTGTGCTTTATTGGGTTGGAAGTCTATTAATGGCTGCAAAAAGGACATGGAGGCAGCATCTTCTGATCCCCTCTAGCTTCACAATGGGGAGAGAGACTCACCAATAGCAGCCCAAGGCTTATTCCTGTGAGGCCTGACATACCACCACCCTCCAGCCTTTTTACCAACTCTAATACCAACCATCCCTCCTACGGCACTCACTACTTCTCTGCTGAGTTCAATAATGCATTGCAGTAGCCACATGGAACTCATGATACTCATGATTATGGGGTTTATTAGGGAAGTAACAGGGTACCGTTCCAGTTCAGGAAGGTTCTCAGGATACAATTCTTTGATCAGGACAGTCTCCCCTCTGCCATGCCTTCAGGCACACTTCTCTGGCCCTTGACCTCTCAGCCTAGCCTCTGCCCTGCTTAGGCAAGCATTGCAAAGATCTTGTAGCTCTGCCTGCCGATAGGTACACCTATGTGCACTCCACTCCACTCTACTAGCAAACCTCCTGCCCAAAGGCATTCAGCTTTCTTGCTCTGTGGGCCAGCAAGCCTGCAGCTCTATCTCATGCCTCTTGGTTCCTCTGTAGTCTGAGCTGATCATTTTTGCCATCTCTCTGCCAAGGCAATCCAGGACAGGAATCTCAGGTGAAAATATGCGCTCCACTTCACCTCCTCCACTCCACCTCTGGCTCTTCTCTCTTGATGACAGTGAGGTCCCTCTTTCCGTCTCTAGGAAGGCTTATTTTAAGCCTAGTAGAATGACAGAACTAACCAATCTCCACATTAGAGTTCTATACACCTTATTTGCATGGTCCCGTCTCCATAAGGGTGCCAATGTACCTTATTTACAATACTCACAAGCTATCCCATCCCCTTGGTGGGCCATAAGCACCTTACATTTGCATAGTTCCACCTGGTAATCTGGTGGAAGTCACAAAGACCATGGCTAGAAAAGCCATCCAAGTAATTCACTGCACCACAATAGCATATTCATCTTCTCCATCATTATGTGGCCTTTAGGCATTTCTTAATGATTAAGAGGCTGGATTTGAAATCTGAGTTAGTAATTTTTGGCATAACAAATATCAAAGAAACCAAATTTTACTTTTTGTTTGAGTTCAGAATTACATAGATGTTTTGTTATTTGATGATACATCTGTAAGGAAAATAGCTAGACTTGAGTTCTTAGTTTATCTCTATTAAAGAAAACATATAATTTATGTAGTGGTCAGTTGGATCAACAGGATTTATTTACAGTTCAAGAGAACACATTTTTTTAAAATAAGTATATTCACTTTTACCTACCTACTTTTGTGATTGAGAGTTAAAAATTGAAGAATTTTGCATTTAACATTGTTTGACTATCCTAAGAAATAACAGTAAATGTCTCAGGTAGCTTATTTCCCTCTCATCAAAATAATAATAACAGTCAATAATTTGTTGTTGTTGTTGTTATGTGCCATCGAGTCAGCCCTGACTCATAGCGACCCCTCCTTGGGTTGCCAAGGCAGTATCACTACAGAAGTAGATTGCCCAGTCTTCCTTCCGAGGAGTGGCCAGTGGGTTTGAACCGCCAGCCTTCTGGTTAGCAGTCAAGTGCCTTAGGCACTGTGCTTCCAGAGCTCCTAGTTAATAGGAAATATACTGTGTTATACTATAGGTACTTGTGGTGGTTATGTTTTTGTGTCACCTTGGCTGGGCCTGGTTGCATGACTGGGCAGCTGGTGGTAGTTATTCCCCATGATGAGACTGGCAATCAACTCCATGGTGGGATCTACCACAAGCAGCTGAGTTGCTGCTTTGGGTATGTGGTCTGCTTCCCATATATATAAAGCAGTTTTGGGAGTGGTCTCTAGCTTATGGCACACTTGGACCCTGCATGTAGC